ACCTTGAAATACAGAACTCTTGTCTTAAAACATCTGCATGGTGATCGCGCGACAGCCATTTGTTGAAAATGCGTATCTGTCCATGTGAATATTCACGAGCATTGAACGCGAGTTACACGTTTCAACCCCTTATGGGTTTCTGGTTGAACCAATTATGCCAAACTGTTAGCTTAACATTTGTACACAAGTATACCGTAAAATTCTGAAAATAAGCCCCGGCGATTATATTTTTCAAAAGCCCTATTTGAGGGGCTTATTTTTGGAGGGGCTTCTCTATGGAGGGAAATTTGCGTTTTGAAATCTATTGGGCTAGCCTTATAGTTGGAAGTAAATTTACCGTTTTTGCTTTGTTATACTTTGTAATTTGGGGGCAATTTTCCAAGTACAAGCCCCCCCCCCGGGGGGGGGGGGCTTATATTTGGAGGGGCGATTTAACGGAGGGTTTTTTGCGTTACCGGTTTGAGAGGGCTTATATTTGGAGGGGCTTATACATGGAAGGGCTTATTTTCGGAATTTTACGGTATTTAACAAGTAAGCTTTGAACTCTATTATAATTTTTTCACGATATTGTAATTACTAGCCGGCAGTTTCGGGCACTGAATAAAAGTAATTCAAGATGTAAACTGGAATGCTCGCGTGACTGCATGCATGCTAGACTCAGTCTTGTCATTTTTTCCCAGACGATCGGGGATTTTACTGTTTCCCGACTGTCCCAGATTTTGCCGACTAATGAAAACTCGAAATCGTAGATATCCTCGAACGTCTGGGATGGACGGGGACAAATCTGGAGAATCTGGAGTGTTTCTATTTTCCCGACGCGTCCCAGATTTCTGCGATGGTCGGCGATCATTCCCGACAAATGAAAACTCAAAATTGTACCGTCGGGGACGTCGGCGATGGATTTCGCTCATTACCAGTCCCCTAAATTGCTGAGCTCCACTCCCCCTATCAAAAATAAACATGACATCTCTCGAGAATCTGGGACAGACTTCTGGCGATTATCCGATATATCAGAAAAATCTGCGATGGCAAAAAGTAAAATTCCCTATCGTCTGGGATTTTCCCGACATATGAAAACCAGGCTAAATCTTAGCCTATGCCAAAACTTAAACTCGGTTACTAACCGAGGTTAAATTACGTCTGCGACTCAGGCTATATTGCCGATCAGTACTTTTTAAAGTGATAATAATAGTAATAGAGAACTCATTTTAACCCTCTCCTAGCGGCTCGGGCTAAAATGAGTCTGACTTGGGCCCAAAACGTATTTATGCCCGAGAGCAATTTTGAAGTTTTTGATTAGCGATATTTCATTTTGCATACGGCGGAAAAGGAAAGGAAATTCTGCGGTAACATCTTCTCCTGCTCTGGCCAATAAAGCAGAAATCTATCTAATTCTACAGCTGTTTGATTAAACTGAGAACAGGCTGTGTTGAACATAGAAAAAAACAAAACATTTAGTGGCAGGTACACCAGAGAAGATAATGCTGAACAAATGCAGCCTCACACTGCGTGCATGCAAAGCGCCTTTTTGTCTTTTATTCGAGCAAGCGAAGAAACTGTTCTGCTGCTGGCAGGGTGATGCAGCCTAAGTCCGTGAGTGTCAATGAGATAAATAAAAGTGAATCCACCTTGACTCTACTGGAAATCCTGCTTCCTCTACAACTTTAAAAATTGAATCAACAACCCTGTTCACACCAGGGAAAGGCTTTTGAGACATTCCTCAAAACTTTTATGTTCAATACGCCTTCTGATCAGCCTCTCAGGCTCGCTATGACCTTTAAATTTTGCGACTTTAGTGGTAGTATCATAAGTGGTTTTAAATGTATAGAGGGGGGCCTCTAGAACCTCGCCCCGGTCCCAGGAAGCCTAATGGCCTGTCAATGACATTTACAAGTTAGAGTAGCTTTATGCGGAGAGACATATTATATTCTTTACAGCACTGTAAACTAGAGCAGAACCTGAATAATTTCAACATTGTAACACAATACTTCAACTTTGACTTTTTATATGCAAAGATCACGTTCGGTACATCATTACTTTACTTACACTTCTCCTCGCTCGTTTTAAAAGTTAAGATAGTGCAAATGCGCTAATGTTTCTAAATTCCCTCGAACAATTTCATTTCAAGTTGTCACCATTAGGCATAGAAAGCGCTCCTGTACTTTAGAGAAGCACGGACTTAAGACATGATGTATCTTTTACGAATTGTCACGTTGCTTATTGATGCAGTTCCTTAATTTTGTTCTGAGAGTGGCCATAGTTCGTCCGTGGATACGACAAACCTCAAGTCAAATCACAAATTAGTTTTAATTCCAACAAAAACCTTCATCCACTCACTTCACCATGATGTGGGCTGATGCAACAGATATGCAATGCCGCCTTAATCTGGTGTTACAATCACGTGTTACAATACTGCTGGTAACAGACATCCGGTTACCAGTTAAGTTTGTAAAAGGTCCTTCACTTTGCTAGGGTAAGTGTGGCCATGATTTAACACGTAATACCTTGAACTGTCTTGGTATATTATACATAAAAAACTTGTCTGTATGAACGCCAACTCGTAAGATTTCAGTAGTCTTTGGACTTTTCGTTCTTGGTTCCTATTACCTTTGTCTAGCCTATGAAGACCTATGAATGACCCATGAATTTGGTGCTTTTTTTTTATTTTTATTTTTATCAAAATTGATATGAAAAAATTCCGTTTTCATTTTACTCGTTCAATTGTGGCATATGCTGTCATGGAGTAAATGGAAAACCGGAACTATTCTTGCAAAGAGGGGAAATCGAAGGATTCTTTCCAACTCGACCAGTTTCACTTCACGTATAGCACCCCATCGTTTCTGTAAAATATTCCACCATTGTCATGCCAGGGAGGAATGTTACAGGTATAGCCATATAACGCACGCTTGGAAACTAGCAAAAGAAATAGACAAAACTTGTACCTGTGCGGGCCAAAATACCAAAGGACACTTTTATAAAATTATTGGCGTAATATTACTATTATGATTATAATCGTCATCATCATTATCGTTATTATTTTTACGATTATATTAACGATGAATGGAAATAAATTAGTTGACTAGTCTTCTTTTTATTTTTTTCTAGTACAACATGACGAAAAGCTGATATGGCGAAGCTGATATGGCGATAATTTCGGCTCAAAGACCGTATTCACACTAGAGACGGATTATCCGTCTGAAACGGGTTATCCATTGGATAATCCGGGTCACATAGATAGTACGTCTTAATTTGATAATAGAACGGTCTTAATTTTAGATGGACAATCCACCTGACTTTATCCATCTGTTTTTCCGTCAATTTTGACGGATTTTAAAGATGGATTATCCGCTGGTGTGAAAACAGCCGTTACGAAATTTCCTGGCAAATATTCCAATCACCTTGAATGAATTTGTTCCGAATAAACATAATATTTAACAATTATTCCCCGAGCCCGAATGGGCTCTGAATTAATAGCCCATGAGGCCGAAGGACGACGGTAGTTTTCCATTTTCTCTTAGGTATGGTGCTACGATCGCGCGCTCGAGGCGCGCATGGAGGCTCCGCTATATAAAATGGGCGAAAAGCAGTATACCATATACTTAACAATTATTCTTTGAAATCGAGGTGAAGCTGGTTTCGGTGCCGTTTAGCAGTTTAGTGTTAGATATTGGTCACCCTGAGAAAAGTTTCCCGGAGAGCATCATGTAAAGCTCTGAGATGGGACAAAGTTATTACATTTCGTAGAGTCTGCATCGTCCAATATAGTATTATATTCTCGTTTCATTTGGCTAAACGGATCCGGGCTGAGACAGAAAGGTACGTTATTGTTCGCTTTTCTAAGGTGACCACTAAGTCTTTGGCCTCGGGAACAGGCTGTTAGGAGTCAAATGAATTAGGTGAGAGCAAAATTGCAGGTGAACTTTGACCCGGACCAAGACGTCGTTTTTTTCTGGTGTGAAAAGAAGGCTAAGGTGATCCGCCGACCGTGCGACTCTACATCCGGGAACTTCAGTAACACGAGTGTAAGAGAAAAGCCCAGAGGTGTTTATCTGGCAATAGGCTGAATTTTTCCGAATTATTCGATGATATTTTGCTTATGTTAAACATGAGAAGATTATGCGTGGTTGTGGATAGTCAGTAGTCTACTAGGGTCAAAGATAAGCCCCTTTTTGGACTTCCCTTGGACTTCCCGCATACTAATTTGGATTCCCTCGCAAAAAGTGGATTCTCTTCATTACATATGCAGGATTCTCTCGCCAAAAAATGCGTTCCTCCATACTCATAACTGTCTTTCTGCATACTAATTCGGTATAGGTTTACTAATGAGCGCCTCTCTACTACAATAGGCACAATAGGCTTGCCCCCGGCTTTCGCGTTAAGTAACCTGAGCCCGGTTTTCGGACCGTCTATTAAAAGGAAAATAGGAAGAAGAGAACCGATCACGTAGCAACGCGAGAAACGGCTTCCTATATCTTATTTAGCGCTAAAACTCAGACATATAAACAAAACACATACACAAAGTGGAGTTGAAAAGTCTTTATTTCAATTTAGTTTATGTCTCCTTGTTTAGCTCTAAAACTCGGATATATATATAAACAAAACACATATACACAAAGTGGAGCTGAAAACTCTCTCTTTCAATTTTGTCTGACGTTTTCTCCTTTCTATCTCGAGGAAATGAAAAAATATTCAAGTCTCAGAGTTTCACGCACAGTTAGTCAGTTAATTATGCGAGTTCATTAGCCCAAAGTTGAATACAAATTAGTTTATCTCTACAGCTAGACCCAAGGGAGCACCTTGACGTATTATTATAAAAAAAATAACTTAACAAGGATCAATTAAAACACGCGACTAATAATTGCTAGCAATAAAACCACAAGAGAGATGCCTTCTTAAAAACTTTATTAAAAAACAATGACAAAAAGAGTCAAATACACAGCGATTTGTAAGGAATGGAAATTAATTAATCTTCATCTTTGTTCTCCTCTTTAGAAGGGGGATTAGAAATTGGTTTCCAACGTCTTCGCGTTTTTGTGTGTAACTGCTCCACAATCGTGACACCGAAGAAAGCCCTCTTTCATGTAATTTGTCCCCTCGGGAATCTGGTGATCGCATATAGGACAAATCTTGTAGTAATCGTGCCAAAAGCATTTCGGACATTTCATGATCAATGCCCCGTACACATTAGAGTTCTCGCAGTGTTCACAGGGACTTTTAGAGTGAAAGGTGGTGGACGTTTCAGGGTTGCTACTTTCTGTTTACTGACTGTCGTTTTCAGTGTCGTTGTCGCTCTCTTGGGTGCCTTCAGCTTCAACGCCATTCTCAGAAGCCACTTCCTCCTCCTCCTCCTCCTCCTGATTTTCAATATCCGATGAACTCTCCTCATTATTACTCTCGTTATCGGAAGTATTTTCTACATTTTGGTAGCCTTTTTCCTTTTCTATTAAATCACATAACAACTTTTTGTTCTTGATTAAACCTTTATCGATTCCTAAATCCGCAAGTCCATCTAGAAACGTATTCAGCGCACGAGGCTTGATAACCTCATTGCCGTTATGAGGGAGTAACACATACTCAACTAGCTCGGCGATGTTTGTGACGGGAATAGTGCGTTTATTTCAAAGTAATTGTCCGCTGGGGGTCCAGAAAAGAATATCTTTGGACGCGGCCATACTATGCAGCAAATCAGAAGCACGCTTTTCCGGCACTGCTCGGGAAAGATGACTCAAAACATCTTTTATTCTTGGTTCTTCATCCTCGCTTTCATCACCAGTACTTTCGCTTTCTTGATGTTCACTCTCGCGTTCTTCTTCAACCAAATCTATCAAGTGGCTTCTCGGATAAACAGGGAGATTTCATGAGCTGTTCACACGAGGTTATGGTCACCTCTATATAGACTTAACAATGCCACTGAGGAAAAGGTACAAAAAACTATGAAAAGCAAGGTGAAATAGCCTGGGTAAAAAGTTTGCCGGTAACAACTTCCATGAGAACATAACAATGCGTCAGAGCCTATAGCTGTTCCTATTCTGAACAAAACAATCCCTCTCCTTGCGAAAAAAGGAAACATACTTTTTGAACAGGGCTTGATCAAAACCTTTGGGGGTATAGTAGTAGTATAAACAAATAATAGCATCGCGTAGAATGCCCGGTCACATCCGGGAATTTAACAGGCTAGAGCCGCATTCGAGCCACGATTTGGTCTTTAAAATATGGCGGAATAATAAGAATGAAGCGACTTTCGGAGTTTTTTGTCTCTGATTGTGAGTTACTCGTAACCAAATCTCAATGGGTACCACCGGAATATTTATATCAAGAAACATCAAATTCAAGATCTTACCTTCGATTAATGCCAGCTTATCGGATTTCACTGGGTTTTTCGCGCTAAAAACCAACCAAAAATCGCTATTTTTGTATGGATTTTCACCTGCGTAGACTTTCGCAGAAAGATTACAACCAAAGTTTGCAGAAATCGCGAACGGTACCACCTAATATCGTGACATCTCTTGTCTGCCTTTAAAACCACCACAGTCTTTTAAACCAAGGATTGTGATACAAACTTGGTTTTTTATTTTCCTTTGAATTTGACCTGAACCCGTGAGGGGTAGCCAGCGCGAAGAAAATTTCCAGAAAACGTCTTTTAAAGCCAGAAAAAAATTCTCAGCGTTTTGGCCGCCATGTTTTTTATTTTTCAAACTTGTTTCCAGTACTCTCTGACCGTTTTATTGTTTTTGCCTCATGTATGCTTCATTCAGAAGCGTCACGGCTAAAAACGGCAAAATAGTAACCCCTACTCGGACGGGAAATTTTTAGTTGACTTCAATGGACCCGGAATTCTACGCGACGCATTATTTGTTGCTGATATTTGGCATGAATACCACTCGTGATATTTCAAAATTGTCTGAAATTTCAGTCGCCCAACGGCTCATGAAATTACGTATAACAATTTCGAAATATCGGTCGTGGTATTTATGCCAAATATCACTACAAATCATGCTATTACCTATACAAAATATTGGAACTTGTGTATATTGTATACTGATAGCTGTCTAACTTCCGCTGACTCGGTTTACCAGCGTGCGTCACTACAATCTATACTTGACTTATCTAATAACTGTATGATTATACAGTGATGTACATAATTCAATTCCATCTGAATTAAAAGGAAAAAAAAAGAATCTGTATGCACAGGAAACACTAGTAAAAGTAAACCATTCTTAACAAAGGGTCGGGCTAGGTTTATAGAATTGCAGTAAATGTGGGCCTTTCTGCTAAACAGGAAGATTTGATGAATTGTTCAGCGAGGTTTAAGGCTTAATGAGCACTCGATCACAGGAAACATCGCAAACTGGTGTACTCATGTATGTATCACAGAAGCCTTAAAGGCTAGCTGTAAAATATTGCTTCTTATCGCCACCTCAATCAATCGTTGTTTGTTGCTGATTATACTTGTAGCAATTAAAGATAGCAACACTGACAGTGCTCGCTTATAGTATGAAGGCTGTAAAATACAATTGTGTAACAAGAAAGACTTTGTAAAAATTTGTATAGGCGTAGCTCTTTCTACTCCGCGGAGAAACCAAACAATCGGTGTGCATTTGAGGAAGCAACTTCAACCTTTTAACTTAGTCTTAATCATGCATTTAAACTTCTGGTGACACAGCAAATTCCAAGGGCTTTGCTGATAAACAGGAAGACGCGATTTGTCGTTCAAGCGAGAGAAAATAATTGATGGGCTTTTTGTTACGTCAGTTAAGGCATGCATGCAATTTCTTATTTGAAACATCGTTTTTTCAGGGCGAAGAACTAAGCATGTAAACTGTTTTAGCCTTTCCTTGTACTACTTAACATGACTTAGGAACATATGTAACGTTTTTTGCAAGCAGGTGTAATTGCAAAAGCTCCGGACTGAATCATTCTTCTAATGTCAGTAAAATTATACTCCTCATAGCTCGCGGAGGGGTTTCGAAGATGCATTCTTTACGCTTTTTTGCTTACGTATAGGTGAGGCTTTCAAGGAGGTATTAACTCTATTTGTTGTCCACCCTCATTAATCACTGCTTTTTGGTTCCTGTTTGACTACCTTATGTGGTCTCCACGTAACCCTCGACGGTCATTTTGAAGTTAAACTTTAGTGCGCAACTGAGGATTTCAAGCAGCAGCGACTTTAAGTTCAAACATGAGTTAGTAGAGATTTTTAACGAAACAACAGTAGTTTTAAGTATAACTTTAATTGCAGCTGGAAACGTAGCACAGCTAGTTGATCGATTTAATCAATAATAGTTCAATGAGATTCCTTTAACATAAACTACAGTGTAACCGGTGATCCTTAGCTTTTTCCTTCATTACAATCTAGAATCGCAATGATGTTTTTCAAGAAACCGAAACAAATACGACTAACTCTACTTAATTTTTCGGTACGCCAGGTAACATAACATAAGAACGCAAAAAGACAAATGCACATGTATCGTTATGATGAGGCTAAAGGAGATAAAGCATGGTTTAGGTTGTTCTGTTTTGTTTTGGATTTTTACTTGTGTTTTTCAGTCCAACTTTTATGCAAGCGCAATATTTCTCGCAATATTTCCCTCTGTCTTAATGTTGGCATTTCAAAGAGTAACATGTTGCATGCTGCAGTTTGAAGATCCAACGTGTTAGTGATTTGAAAATATGAGACAGCATATTGTACGTTTACCAAAAACTGATGAATTTTTCAGGGTTTGTGGTTAAGAAACCGCTCACAATCTTAAGGTTATGGTTGTGAACCTAGAACTCTAACGGCATTTTTTTTCTGCGGTTGTTGCTTTTTAGTCCGAAGTCATTTTTAAAAAGGTATTTGATTACTGCTTGATTATATGGCCCAGAACACATACTTTTTGGAGTTCGGAACATCTGATGGGGCCGACAGGGTACAGACTCCGTAACAATATTTGGATAAAACTGATTTGGTTCGCCTAGACCTATATAAATTAAATATATTCAGGGACCGCGGAGGGGGAGGGGCTGGTAGGGCCGCGGCCCCACCACTTTTTTGCGCCCCCGCCCCCACTTTTTGTGCTAAAAAGAAAAATAATTAAAATAAAAAAAAGACTTGAAACAAGTTTTTTTCCGTCCATATTCCGCTATATTCTCTGTATTTTCTTTAATTTCAAACGCCAGGCATTTTGTGGGTCTCCTGTGCTTTTCGCGGTAATTGTGCCCTGGGGCCGACTTGCCCCTTGATCAAACGCCATGCCTTGGCCACCCCTTCGCTTCGTTCGGCAGCGTGTTTTGTACTTCCAGCTTCGGCAGAGTTTTTATCAGTTTTATCACACGAAATGAAGAAAATTACTAGCTTTTTGAAGCCAAACGAAGGTGAGTAGTTGTTTTGAGTTGACAAAAGTTTTATATTTTGTCTTTCTCCTTTCGAATCAATGAAATATTCGATGGCAAGAAGAATTACATTACTTGAACAGTGAACGGTCATAGTTAGAAATTTTTCAGATCACTTCGGTGTAGTATTTTCTATACTAAAATTCTAATCGCGTCTTTTCTTGCATTGAATCTGAAGTGACAGTGTATTTTGGTCGTTTATTAGAAAAAAATAATTTTAATTGTCAGCCCTCCCACTTTTCACCTTGCTCCGCGGTCCCTGCCTATACCAAACACACTAATTATACGTAACAAAAACCAACAAATGTACCTCTACATCGTGCGTCAGAAAGTCAATTACTTGTGAAGTAGTGAGCTACCAACGGAATAAATTTGAACAGAGTGTGATCAATTAAGAGCTGAGAGTCGAACATACTTGGAATCCTCCATTTGTTAGACCTTATCATGGTTTTGGAAGTTACCTTGTCGGGTAGGCAACCACGTGAGAAATAACAGAGTTTGTATGAGAATCTAATGTCCAATAATTTTTCTAAAGCTAACGAACAATTAAGCATGCAATCGTTGAGATGGCTTGATTCGTTGATAATACGTCACATTAGACGTAACAACTACCCATTGGGAGCGTCTAGTCTAACTGCACTGCATTAACTACGTCTAGGGTGATCATGAGGCTTCATGAGGGCTTATTGTACCTCAACCACACTGTTAACCACTTCCCGCCTAGCCGAAAAGTGAACCCTTTGGAAACCGCAAAACAGTTCAGAAAAATAGATAACAGCTAAGAAACCTTAGAAAGCCTGAATGCCTTAAAAGAAGATTTAATGAAAGGACAATATTTGTGGTCAATTTTAATATATCTGTTTTCCTGTTGCGGGTAGAAGCAGTGGAATATACAAGGAAGGAGTATGAAATAACTATAACTGTTACAATAATTTATTTCTTTTACTTTCAACTGAATTAAAAAAAAAAAGGGAAAAGAAAAAGGGAATCCACGTGCACAGTGATGATTACTAAAGTAAACCATTTGATATAGGGTCGGTCGGTTTAAAGAATTGCACTTCTGCTAAATAGAAAGATTTGATAATTCTTTTAATAAGCGAGGTTCGATCGCAGGGAACTTTGCAAACCGATGCACTTATGTATGTATAAAATCACGGTGGCTTCT